AAACAAATGTACAATTATAGTCAGCACCAAAAACGGACTGAGGTCAGTGCACTGCACAATACGAGAAAAACTGAGTTGAGTAATAGCCCTTTACCACAAAGCACCTCCAAGGAGGTTTTCTAAGTATCTTAAAACTTAAAAACTGCAAAGCTTATCTATGTTAAGGTGATTACTTATTTTTGTATGTATTTTACTTATCAAGTTTCTCTTTCAAACTCTTATACCAGAGTGGGTGATTGTTAGAACAATGGAAACATTTAAATATATTGTTTTTGCAAAATGTTATGTTGTTTCTGTGGAGTTTGAACCATGTTTTACCATGATCAGCAGGGTAACGTGTGTTTTCAATTGAGTCTGAGGGCTTTAGGAGAGCTTATTGATTGTATGTTTTGTACATTTATAAATTGCAATAATTGTCATAGTTTCTTGTCAAAACATTGACTAATTCATACAATTGCACTGAAAAAGGGTCACTCAATTGTCCTTATTACCGGCGATCAGATGTTGAATCCTGTCTACATCAGGGTCAGTTGTCCTGGGAATGAATGTCAATTGGGAACTTTGCTGTGAGACTAAAGACAAAACTCCAATAATATTAGGAGTCACTGAGGTTTTGTCTAGTGGGAAAAAGATGTAAGTGTGTGGGTCAGTGCTCACCAGAGCTTCAGAGATTTGACTCATGACATCAGCGCGTACTGATCTCTGTTCATATTTTTTAACATTGATCAAACTTATGCTCTCGTTCTACCGATTCACAGACACTAATGCTAACTGCACCTTCACCTCAAAACCAACTGCCCAAAACACAACATAAATCCACCAATAATAGGCTCGCTCAGGCAACAATAGAACTGGTTTCAACCGGCCAGCTCAGCAATACCCAGACTTTAATTTGTGGATTATTATCTGATAGACTTCACTACTGTATAAAAAGCAATTACACCAGGAGCTTTTCCTCAACCTTTCTCTAAACTCTCCAAAAGTTTAGTTCCAAATTATCTGTATTTCCTCTTTGCACCGCAGAGAGCACATCAAATTGAGGTCAGCAATTTTGACGCGAAAGATTAGCGAGGTGAAGTATTTAGGCACATCATTTAGAAATAGTGAAGGACTATAATTATAGACATAATGTCTGCTGCTGTATAACAACACTTTGCGAAAAGCATCCTCTGGTACACTTACCCTTATGGTGACTGTTAGGAGATTGTTCTAAAAGCGACTCTAAATCTGTCAGAGGAGAGCTAGAGGAAGTGTGGAAATGGCTGTGGTTACTCATTCATGCAGACCGGTATCAACCCTGCATGCTGGCGCTGACAGATTTATATTGGTTAATAAGATATTGTGTTTTCCTGCTGCTGCCTCTGCAGGACACCCCAATATTCACTTTTGTCCTGATGATAATACTTTGATGTAGCCGACAAAAGGAACCAGCGACCGGCTCACAATAAAGTTGACCCTGCTTGAAAGAGAAACACAGTCAAACTCAGTGCTGCATACAAATGTGTTGATATTCACTGCAGCTGTACTTTATTTGCATAAAAGCTCATGAAAATTAAAGTGGGGATTAACCTAAGGAAAATGTAAATACTTTTGGCATGAACTACAACAAATCATTTGGCTAAAGAGCAACAAAGGTTGCAGAGCTAATTTAGGGATTTTTAATTGGTCAAAAATATCTAGATCCCCTAACAATCCATATAGCATACTGGAAACAAAGGCATTGCACTAGAAAAATATAATAAGAAATATAATTTCACAATACAACTCAGCTAATCAGACAGTTACACAATGCTGGCGGGTGTCTGAAGATTGAGCCAGCAAGCCTGTCTACAAACCTGTCTGAAGCCAGCACACTGTGTCATTTATTTCACAAATGTGTCCCTTTGTTTCTGCAAACCAGCGGAAACTCTACAAGTCTACAGGCAAGTAACAAAGAAACTGTCTTTTTCTGATTGGATGAAACATTTGTTTGAACTGACAAAATGTGATGGTAATGAGGGACATCTAAAAATGTTTGCAAATACATGTTCTTCCGCTTTAGAAATGAACTACAACAACACTGTCTGCATTACACATATCCACCAACAGTCCAGATGTTGGGAGGCAACGGATTAAATCAAATCCTATTTGCCTTATGTTTCAAGACAAGCCATCTGAACTTTGACCGTTTAACTATTGCACCATCTCCCCTCCCAACAAATGGACACTCGTGCATTATTCATGAGGGAGGAAGTGGCTCATCAGAGATGCAGAGTGAAACATGGCAGGCAGGGGAGAGCATCAGAGGGGGGGAGGAGTCAGGAGGGCAGAGGGAGGAGGAGGAGGGGGAGATAGAGAGGGCCATGGCTGAGGAAGCACAGGGTCATTCACAGCTCCAGAGACAGAGGATGAAATGAGGGAAAGAGGGAAGCGTGGAAGAAAGACGTGGAGTTCATAACTCGATGAGAATTAAGAGGAGGGGGGGATGGGAGAGAGGTAAAGGGTCTTCAGAAACATACTGTGCTTCACATGTTCATAAGGGATAAGAACGATTCACATCTGGTGGTCATTTATGACACCAACATCAAACTAGTGTTACATTTTTTTTATGGAATTCACTTGGTACTTACATATAATAGGATAAAAAATGTGTCAGATATTATTTTAAATATATGCTCATTTTTACCGAAGTTAGTTCACCATATTGTATTCTGTGTCATTTCAAGTTGTATTTTTTCCAAACGGGCATCATTCAAATTGTGTCATTTTGGCCGTAATTATGAATATTTTAAAGCAGCCTGAATCTTGGCACCACAGCTCTGTCATGGACCGCACAATTAAGGACATTTGACAAATAATGATTTCACTGTAGTTTCTTTTTCTAATTATCACCTTTCATCTGGATAAAATGGTGAACCCAACATGAGCACATCTAATCACCAAATTCAGATGTTGGCAGAAATGGTTGTTTAGCAGTTTGAAATTGATTCATGCAGAACCACATTCTCCTAACCTCGGGTCTTGCTGTCTGTGAAATGAAAGGGCTTGGTACCAGAGAGGGGAGGAGAGGAATGAGTAAGACAGAACGGAGGAGGAAGAAAGACACAGCGGGGAAAAAAGACAGCCAATGTTGCAGGAGACAAATTGCGACCAGCAGGTTTCCCTATGTGATAGGGCAGACAATACACACAGATACACACATGAACACAACAGCAGGTTGGTAGCATTGCTTGAAATATTAAACATAAATGTCAGAGCCTTTCCCTCCTAGCTCCTCTTCTCCCCCTCCTGTCCCTCCCCCGCTCCCCTCCTGTTCTCCACCCTCCACTGACAGTTTCCTGTTAATGACTTTCACTGGCACAGGAGACCACAGAGAGGAATAAAGAGTGTGCGACATGCTCACACACACACACACACACACTGCAGGTAGTTGAGCCCAGGGTGAGTGTATACAGTCATGACTAATACCGGCTCTCACATCGCTGATCCACTATTGTATAGGGAAGGCCAGCTCTAATAAGGCCAGAGTTAGCCCACTGTCTGCAGATACCTCTGGAGAACATTAGGTAGCAAAGGACATTGTCATGTTTGTGTGTGGTATCAAAATGGAGAGCCACACTACTGTCAGCATCAGTCGGATAACAACTGGTTAGACTGGAGAGTGTGGAGGCCAGAGCCAGAGCCAGATTCTGAAGTCCCAATACCAATAGTAACTGATAGGTCGGCCCCCTCCTAGTCGATCAGTTGACTGTTTTGGACTAAAATCTTGTTTGAAAAGACTTGTGAGCACACAAGGTACACACAAGATGTAATGTTGTGTTTTTGCATGAGTATTTGTGTAGGAAATTAGTTTTAACCCTCAGTTGATAAAGTCGTTTGAGTGTTATTCGTAGAAACTGCAACCAGCATTGCATGTATTCTCTTACAGTTCCTCATTGAAGATGTATAATATTTTGACAGAGGAAAATATCAAAACCCAAGACTGCATGCTTTTTCATTGCTGCTACATTCCATCAAATTGAAATACATTGAAATTTCCCCCAATATTCAGCCTGATCTATTTGATATATTTGAGAACATCTTGGTTTGAACAATTTATGCACAGCAACTGGCTTTATATACTTTTTATTTCAGAATATTAATGCCCACATGTTGGTGTTAATGCAGAGAATCATGCTCAGACTGATAAGCTTCTTTAAGTATCGTTATAAGAAGTGCCAAGTTTGTATTCAGTCGAAGCTTGTGGCTGTTCTTTGTAGCATTTCATACAGTTTTTAACCATACCTTGACCAACGTTTTCGACAATCATGATGGTTTTAAACAAGAGCAAGACAAATGTTTGTGCATAATTATGAGTCTGTATTGACTTAAGAGCACGGCTCAGAGCTGGCCGGCATCAATTAAACTGTACATACAGCCACATGGGTACACTAGCTCCTGTGCAGACTATTGACTTTTGCATGTGCTGTATGCTTTATTGTTAGAAAAAATCCAGGAAAGGTAGAAATACCAAACATAAACCATTACTGCAGGTTGGCATATACTGTTATGAAATGTCACTGGACTAAAGGTTGTGCAGTGGGAACATACCACTACTAATTCTGCCTGAAATGCATAATCAATCAGACTTAAAAGCCCACTGTCATAGTAACCAATACCGATAACCGAATTCAATTATGACAAAATGAGACGGTTGGGGAAATCATCAAAAAAGTCAAATCATAAGCTACATAAGCTTTTTTTGTTTTAGTGTTTTTCATTAAAAAAAAGTGTTTTCTGTCTCTGAGCGTGACTCTCTTTCTACCTGGATCTGCTGATTTTTCTACAAGGTGGATTACTCTTGCTGGAAAGAGTACTCAGGGTGCATCAAGGGCACAGTGCTATCTCTCTCTCCATGACACACACACACACACACGCACACACGCACACACGCACACACGCACACACACACACACACACACACACACACACACAAGCTTAGTATGATGCTGCTTTTGTTGTGTCTGTCAGTTCAAACTCACGTCTCTGAATCGGTTCCAGGATCTGTCCTTGTACTGAGCCACGGTGCTCAGCCATTTCTCGTTACTGTTCCCGGAGCCCGCCGTTTCTCTGCTCAGCAGGAGAGCCACGACAGGTAGCAGAAAGAAGAACATCTTCTAAAAGCAAAGACAAAGAGTGGAGAGTGAGAAAAAACAAACAGAGAGGAACATAAGACGGATAGCCTCGTCAGAGTGCCAAACAGATGCTGAGTGAGAGGAGGCTGCAGCAAAGAGTTAGGGGAGCAGGCTGAAGTGATGTAGAGCACTTTACAGAACAGAGAACTCTCACGGTGTGACGCATACTGGTCAGAAAGCCACAGGGGAGTGTAGAGTGCTCGTTTTATCAAACTGCTGACCGCTCTTTAATCGGATTATAAACATTGGAGAGTTGTCACCGCGGCAGATGGAGCACCGCGAAACGATTAGCTCGTGAGCTTCCCCTCCGCCAATTTGAAAAGCAATTAGCGGCGTCAACACTATCTGCGCCCCCGCGGAGCTTTGTCTTGTTCATTTGTTTCTCCTCCGTCCAGCGGCACAATGAAAGTCGACAATTACTCACTTTCAGTCCCAGTTAATATTTCTTTGACTGAAACAAATATATGAAAAACAGCCGGATTCGGTGCTTTGCCTACCTGGGATAGTTCGTTTGTGTTAAATGTGTCCAATTCCCGGGAATAAAATAAGTCCACAGCCCCGGGCACTCCGGTGGTACCTGACACTGCTTGTAGGATAGAAGGAAAAAGGGAGATGCGATGAAGAGTGTACAGGGAGCTTTCTCCTCCTCCTCGGTCACTAGACAAGCATAGGTGGGATGTACAGGGGCAAGGGAGAGGGAGAACCAGGAGAGAGAGGAGAGCAGAAGCGAGAGAGAGAGAGAGCAGAGAGAGAGAGAGATGAGTAGAGCAGCGATAGAGAGAGAGAGAGAGATCGGAGAGAGAGAGAGAGAGTGAGAGATCTCGAGATCTCGCTCTCTCTCTATACTCTCTCTCTCTATCTCTCTATCTCTCTCTCTCTCTCTCTCTCTCTCTCTCTCTCTCTCTCTCTCTCTCTCTCTCTCTCTCTCTCCCCTATACGCAGTCACCGTGTCATTGATTTTCAGCAGGGGGGTTTTGTATGTTCACACGAGAGCAGAATTCGGGAGCCGTGTCACTGCGTTGTTCTGGGGTGTACAAACACACATTTCATATTAGTCACGCGCTTCTGTTGTGGAGTTTAAGCTAGAGTCCACTGTAGTAAATACAATTAAGACATAAAGCATACAATCAGCGAAACGTCTCTAGTTTAGTTCCCACAGCTGAAGGTGTGTGCGTTTTAGCACCATGAACAGAGCCAGGCCATGTGATAGGTCCCTTTGTCAAAGAAAACACAGGGGTATCACAACCCTTGAATTGCGGTAACACTTTACAATAAGGTACACAAAATGTGCTTAGTTACTGCTTAGTTACTGAGGAACTACTAGATAGTTAATGGTTAGTTAATGAGTAGTTCCTCAGGGACTGCGATTGAGGAACTGATGGTTAGTTACTGGTAAACAGACTGGGGGGTACTGTATTAATGAATCATTCGTTAATGGTTACTTAATGAGTAGTTCCTCAGTGACTGCGATGGATGGTTGGTTAGTTAGTTACTGGTAAACAGACTGGGGGTACTGTATTAATGAATCATTCGTTAATGGTTACTTAATGAGGAGTTCCTGGGAGACTTTGATTGAAGCAATGGTCCGCTGCAGCAGGGCACTTTTAAACCTACCATCTTCGGCTGGCTTGGGTCCCACACTGGATCAACTGGTGGAGGTGGATCCGACTGTCGTTTTACTGCTTAAGTCATCATTATTTACCTTACCATTACTTAGGCCGTTTGGGTACGTTAAACTCAAGGAACGCAAACAAAAACAGTAGTTACCCATTACCTAATGATTACCTTACCGTTACTAAAACAGTAGTTACCCATTACCTAATGCTTACTTTACCATTCCTTAAGCAGTATGTGTCTCCTCAAGTAAAGTAATGCATCAAAAACAGTAGTTACCCATTAACTAATGATTACCTCACCATTATTTAAGCAGTTTAACAAACAAACAAACCCTGTGCACTCAAGTTTACATTTTTATTTAAACAACAATCCAAAGGACACTAATAACAAAAACGAGGTTGCTTTCAGAACTTGTGAAAGTGGCGTATGTCATGCAGCAATCTGCCTAAGGGACCATCTTTGTGTTTATTTGCCAGCCAATGTGTCCACTCGATCAAAGCAAGATGACTCTTCAGAGTCTTCACTGTGCGGTTTCCTCGCAGTCTCCAGACCTGTGACTTGTAAGTTGACCAAGACCGCTCAATGTTTTGGGTGTGGGCTCCTGTGTCTGGGTTCACAAATGAACGGCTGTGGTTCACAGAGAAATGGACAAAGCCACTTTCTGCGATTGCAGTGATGTATGCCCTCCACATGTCCGGTATCACCGTGGTCCCTTGGCGAACGTATTTTGTGACCAGAGGAATTAAGTGGCGCCTTGATCTTTGTTTCACCAGCCTCAGGATAGGTCTTCTCCTTGTTCCTCTGATGCCCAGCATACCAAATACCCATTTTCTCCTCCTCCACGTAGGACCGAATCTTCCCCTACCATACTGTAATAAAGCAGTGAAAAAGGACAACGAAATTATATAAAAATAAACATCAGTAATTTCAATTGACAAACAAAGTCAAATGTGTTTGTTATTTGCGTTCTTTTACAATTTAAAAATATTCACTTCCTTTCTCAAAAAAGAAGAGAAAAATATTAAAATGTAGTGGTACAAACAGAAAAGGCTGTTTAATTGTATTAAGTTAAAGTTTGCTTATTTTGCTGCAAGAAACATGAAAAGGTAAGATAGATTTTGGAATTAGATGATATATGAATAGATTATGGACTTTTAAAATGTTAGTAATAAAATGTAAGAATATGGATTTATTTCCTTATTGATTAATGATCTGATTGGGTGTGATACTTCTTAGCTTCTAAATTCTTTTTTTCTGTTATTTGACTGTGTATACACTGTGGAGCTGGCTCTCTCTAATGTATACTCTGTCTTGGAAGCCTAAGCACGCCAGTCATAAGGGTGTGAATGACACAATTATTAGCGACGCCAATGTGCCCCGCCACACCTCCAAGCCGCCGGCGTTGTGAATTGCCAAATAACTAGCATTTAGTCCGCTAGCTCAATGCTAACATATAATGGATAACGGAATTGACGCGCTAACTGAAATTAGCATTTAGATATCGGCAATGTTAAACAACAGTCAACATGCTTAAAATAAACGTAATACTTACAGGCATTAATTTGCTGTGCTCTGAGGAAATGACTATTGATGAATTAATATTACCTGTAAATGTATTTCATCCAGCTGAACAAGGATAATGTGCTCCTCTCAAACAGGGACAAACACCTCACTGACTTCTTCGTCGTTTTCCCTCGGTGTTTTTTACGTCGGCACTTCCTACAAAAGACCAATCGTAAATTCCTAGTCCTTTTTTCCTGATAAAGAACTTATCTTTGTAACATGACATATCAGTAAACAGATGAAGTCATCGTTAAAACCCGTGCTAAAAATGTAAGACTTACCACTGCAGTCCGTCGACGTTTGAGAGTTTCTCCAGTTTCCTCCTCTTTTTGCAGAGTTTGCATTTCATTTTTCCTTGAAGCAATTCCATTTTCATTAAAAGTCTGTTTGGTGTGCAGTGTCATGATAACCTAAAACCATAGACTACTGCGGCGTTACTACTGCGTTACTGCGGCCCGTCCACAAACCCTAACACCCAGCGTAGTTCAAGATGTGCTGCCGCTGCCGGGCCAGACCGGAAGTTGAAGCACAGCGAACTCCGCCGCGGAGCGCACTAGCGCCCTAGCACCCTGATCCTCATTTCTTGTTCACACGATTCAAACCAATAGTTTTGATGTTTTGAATCAGGTATTTCATCTTCCTTGTTAAATTGACAAAGCACAGCTTCTGTATCTTCACTGATATACAATTAAAATATTAAAACCGTAATAAAGTGTTAATGCGCTGCAAATCGGGATCCGGCTGGAGCACTACGCAAGACACGCCCCTTCATAGCATTCACGTGCTACGATTGGCCATGAGCCTGTCACGTGCATCTCGGCTGAAAATGGACATGAGGAGAAGCAAACGAAAGAAGATGGGGTCCCGCAAGCGTTTGTTGTCAGAATGTAAGTATGAATTGAAATTTCTTTTTTATTTGAAAAATTAGTAACACTGCTTCGCGAAATCATCTCAATTGACACATGTATTACACTTTTTGTTCTGTGCTATCTGATTTGAGGTTGCTAGCTAAACCACGAGGACCCACCGTGACACAGTTGTTACATAATAATAATAATAATAATTCATTACATTTATAAAGCCCCTTCCTGGAGCTCAAAGCGCTTACATGACATTTAAATGTTCTGTAAAGTTCCTTATACAGCTTTAGACTTGTTTTTATCTCATAAAGTCCTTAAGTGACACACCCTGAACAGTCTGGTGGGTCATGTGACAGAACTAGCTACATTTCAGAGGCTTGTTTTTGGTTGCTAAAGGTACAAATCAAGCCATTTAAGAATTAAAATGCTTACATAACATGTCCTTTGCTACATTTAACCTGTTAACATTTCTTGATCAAATTGATATGAAACAAATTAGATAAAAATCGCTGTGACACTGATGTCACATCGGGACATTAACCTTAAACTTTCACAGTAAATCTGGAGTAACACATATGTCACAATTAGAAATATGATTATGATCTGCTCAGTTAATTTAGCTGATCCAATTATATTTAGTTAATATATTCTTTATTCTTCAATTCAAAGAATGTTCAAACAAATTTAAATCAAAAAATCCTCCTCATTCATTAAGTTATAAATAAGAGTTACTTTACCATTAAAGTTCAATGTGACATTGTCAGAAATGTGGTCTATTTAGTCTAAATTATGTTCCCCTTAATTTCCCCAAAAGTAGAAATGGGTCTGGGTTCTTATGGGTTAAATTAGTTAAATTGTTAAATAAGTAATTGACATTAGGGCGCTAGAAACGAGAGTATTTTATTTTAACACAGCATTGTTTTTTGCGTTCAAAATTAAAACAGGCTAACCTTTTAACGCTGATTTGGGTGACTTGTGTAATTCGTGGAGAACCGAAGAGTTTTCGTTTTGGGGGCGTGGGGGGTCCGACTCACAGACTGACGGACAACGGAACGCCGCTCCAGCACTTCAAATATTGTAGTACCCATAACGATGCCTTATACATGCCGCAGTTTTTGCGTGGCTGTGTCTTTAGTTGTAAGCCCATTGGCGATCTGTTGTTATTAGCATCTGGTTAGCTAGCTAGCTATAAAGAGCTTTTTCTACAACCAGGTGGAAGAGAGCTCTCTCCTGACAGACTGAGAGGCTCAAATAACCTCAGCTCAGTGAGGTTAAGGCACACCTTGATATGATCATTATAGTTATATAAAAAAAAGAGACTAAATGAAAAACAGGTATAAAATACTTTGACAGTAACAAAAACGTTTTTTAAAATAACAAGAATACAGTTTAAAAGGGGAGTGATTTGTAAAATATCCATAAAGAAGAAGAGAAATCTGCTTACAGGTCTGTTTCATATGGATGTGTCCATAGATCTCTTCATTTTGCTCTCAAAGTGCACCAGATTGATGCATTTAACTTCAACATTTAAAAACAAATTTGCACACATCTTGTGTCCATATCTTTCTGTTTTGGTGGTCATGCCACAACCGTGTATGCATGCATGCGCGAGTCATGGTAAAATATCTGGATTAAGAGGTTGCTTTTTCTTTGCACAGCATGAAAGAAAGGCGAAATGAATGGGCTGTGATTTTAGTATTTTTAAGCAGAAATTGAGTTCAATAATTTGTACGGCCCTTGGAGAAAGTTGTAAAAATTGAAATGGCCCTTGAGAGAAAAAAGTTCCCCACCCCTGATCTAAATAATAATAAAAACCCTTGATTTGTAACTTAACATCTCTGTCTCCTATTGATCAGAGTATATTATAAAGAATAGCCAGTTAATTGAAGCATTATAGCGCAGGCCTTTGTCAGATGGTATATTACGCTGTTTTTTCTGTTTCGAATAGTTCTCTCTTTTTTCACCATACGTGTGTTTGCATCCCTAAATATAAGTAGGCCTATAATGTTAAACAGAACATGCTGTGATGTTGCTCTGTTCAGAGTGACACCAGTGTTTCCAAACAACTCCATCTCTGTTGGTCTCTGCACGCTCACATTAACCTGCAGTGTCAGATTTTTCAAAAAAAACAGGGAGAGCAGCTTCTCCAAACTGTTCCATTTAAAGGCTGCTGAGACATGAGGATGCCAGGCTAAAACTTGGCAATATTGATGCGTTATAAATTAGAAACGGAGCAATCTTGATATAGCGTTAAATCCACATTGTGGATCGTCTTATCAGTTATCTCTATTAAACATGATTGGATAAAAGTAGAGCTGATTGCCCAAACCCAACTTCTGTATATAAAGGTACACACCCCAAACACAATAACTAACATTTAAACATTACTTTGAGCAAAGCTACATGACTAGTAATACCTTTACACTACACCAATTCATTACACAATGTTGTATGTAAGGATTACACTACCACTATATAACACTAGTACAAGAATATTATCAATACTAATAAACCCATATCCAAACTGATTTCTGCACTACAGACATCATTAGGATAGGCAACAACAAAGTACTGTTGTTAAATAGTTAAATATTTGTCTTTTTTTCTGTTTCAGTCCTGACCCCAGAAGACGCCATAACCCGCTACAAGCGTGTTCTTGAGGCGGTGAATAAGGGCAACAATAAAACGGCGGCTTACAGAGCGGTAGGAGTGGACCGCAAAACCATTGCCGACACTGCAGGAATTGCAAAACTGCATGCTGTGAACCCGGGCATCTTCCAAGATATCCGGGGAACACTGAAGAAGGGGGAAACCCTTCTCCGTTTCTCGGAGATGTGTAAGTCTGCCATAAAGGACCAACATTTAGAGGGGAAGGTCCAGGACTTAAAGACGAATGGAGGACTATTATCCATTAATCCAAAGGGGAAGTGAGGAAGGAATGGATGTTTTTTTGCTTTGCACTTGTTTTTAGTTTTTTTTAATAAAAAGTCGTTTTTATTTACTTTTTTTTTTTTTTATGTTCATCCTTGTTTCAATAAAAATGTAAAACTTCAGTGGCTGTAGCTCCGTCATTGTCATCAACAGTGTTTGTTTGTTTGTTTGTTTGTTTGTTAAACTGCTTAACTAATGGTAAGATAATGGTGAGGTAATCATTAGTTAATGGGTAACTACTGTTTTTGATGCATTACTTTACTTGAGGGGACACATACTGCTTAAGGAATGGTAAAGTAAGCATTAGGTAATGGGTAACTACTGTTTTAGTAATGGTAAAGTAAGCATTAGGTAATGGGTAACTACTGTTTTTGATGCATTACTTTACTTGAGGGGACACATACTGCTTAATGAATGGTAAAGTAAGCATTAGGTAATGGGTAACTACTGTTTTAGTAACGGTAAGGTAATCATTAGGTAATGGGTAACTACTGTTTTTGTTTGCGTTCCTTGAGTTTAACGTACCCAAACGGCCTAAGTAATGGTAAGGTAAATAATGATGACTTAAGCAGTAAAACGACAGTCGGATCCACCTCCACCAGTTGATCCAGTGTGGGACCCAAGCCAGCCGAAGATGGTAGGTTTAAAAGGGCCCTGCTGCAGCGGACCATTGCTTCAATCAAAGTCTCCCAGGAACTCTTCATTAAGTAACCATTACGAATGATTCATTAATACAGTACCCCCAGTCTGTTTACCAGTAACTAACTAACCAACCATCCATCGCAGTCACTGAGGAACTACTCATTAAGTAACCATTAACGAATGATTCGTTAATGCAGTACCCCCCAGTCTGTTTACCAGTAACTAACCATCAGTTCCTCAATCGCAGTCCCTGAGGAACTACTCATTAACTAACCATTAACTATCTAGTAGTTCCTCAGTAACTAAGCAGTAACTAAGCACATTTTGTGTACCTTATTGTAAAGTGTTACCGTTTTGTCTCCCAAAATCCAGCTAAACCCAGAAACACTCAACATTATAAGGCATCACTGCAATTTATCTTTTTATTTCCTGTTCTTGCTGCGGAATCAGAGCTCATTAAACATTTTTCAAGTTAAACAAAACTAAGCCCCAATTGTTTTTGTTGCAATCTGAAATCATGAGGTACGGTCAAGGTACCTACTAAAAAAAGTATTTATGAATACTGTATTTGCTTTATGTCTGCCCACATTATGGAAATTTAAAGTATTAATTGTGAGGGGGATGCTCATCACATGAACAAACCTTGCTAGTGTTTTGGTCTCAGTTGGAGTCTTTGAAATACACAAGGCAGGTTTGTTGCAGCAAGCCTGTGAGGTTTAATGAAGCTGTTAAACACCGGGGTGGAGGAGCTGATCATGGTGCTGCACGTTTCTAACTCCAGCTGCTAAGATGAACAAGAAACACATCAGGGAGGTACCATCATTATTAAAACAATAACTTATATGTACCCTAAACATGACTGTAGTTATTGATAATGGTTCATAGAAAATAACAGCTGATACAGAGTTAAACAGTGTGATGCAGATAGAAAGTGGTCAGGCAGATTCACATTAGTGAGGAAATAATTAGGATCATTGTGTTTAGATCATGCATCATATTAATAAAAAGTAGTATTAGTGTGTTAGCATAGTTTTTTGGTTGCTTTCCTGATCTGCAGCAGTCTTAATGACAGATACAGAGTGTGAGAAGACAAGTTGAGTATACCTGAAGACCCTAAACAAAAGGGATATATCCATTACTGCATTTGCACAAGCATGATGTACAGTATGATATCAGCACGTAAGCAGCAATGGCTGATACATTTGAATAACTCCCCCGGTGTTCCAGGGAACTCACCAAGTGTCAGAAAACACAACCCTCTCTATTTTCCTCCATACCCAAATCTCTAAAAAAGGGGCTGCAACGGATCTGATACAGACTGATCCAGATTTGAACACTTCTATGACGTCACAGAAGTGGCGCTACGGCTATTGGGCAACTCTCAGGGGAATGTGGGGTTGGGCCACGGCCGGCCATTGCCGCTCGAAAGCGCTGGAGACGCTGTAATACATATGCCAGGCCTGTAAGTGGCGCTTTAGTCTGCCACAAAAGCAGCGAAGAAGACTTCCCGCCCATAGTTACCATGGTTACCCTTCTGTTTATTCTCCGCTGTGGCTTTTTTTCTCCCTCCCCGAGGCAAACGTTTGCTCCCGCTGCTTTAATTCAATGCAATCCCTCCCCGTCGAGGCAAGCACTGTAATTCTCTTCGGTTAGTCCAGCAGCAGATGACAAACACCCACCTCTCCGCCTCTTCCAAGGAACGAGGGGACCGTGCGGCAGAGTTTCAGTTTCAGTTTCTTTCGCCGATCAAGATGTCCGTTAAAGTTTAAATCTTCCGGACAAAATTAGAAAAGTGCCGGTCAAAGGTCTTCTTTGTTATTTATTGAGCTTTAAAACAAATACGAATAACGACTCTATATAATAAAACACGGAGGACGGAGATCTCTTTTTCTCCCCCTCTTCTGACAGCCCAGCAGCTGATCAGAGCACGGCTCACCTCTCCTGCAGGGGGGCGTGGTCAGCAGAATCAGACCCGTAGACAGCAAACAGCACATAGAGCGAAATGAGGCATGGCTAAAATGCATGATCTGTTTGGTATTTTGAAAACAGAAACGTATAAATATACCTCATATAGATATGGCCCTACAATATATCATTTAAATATAGCATGATAGGTCCACTTTAACTTAACTTGTGGATACAATTGAACTGGTAAAAAAACTTTTTGGAAGAAAATATAAAAAATTGTTGGACTATACAGTAGCTAACTAGATCCATAGGGGAAGTCAGTCATGACACCATTTTTTTAAATTGTTATCTCTATTGTTAAAAACATGTGTGTCCTACAACAGATGATGTGCCCTTCATAAAGCCAATGGATGGACGTGAAGCTTATAGTGAGACTTTGAGTCTCTCACTTTGCTTTCGTATTCTGTCAAGCACTGTGTGATTGGTGGAATTGGAAAGTCCAATAAGCAGCTTATGAGCTGAATGATAATGAGACACTTGATTTTGACGTTAAGAGACTCTTACAAGACATTTATATGCAGTATAAGTTAATAGTGAAGCAGCCCCTAATAAATGGGCACTCTGACATTTACAGTAAATCTGGATAAAGCTGAGAACACTGGGAAATGAGAGCATTTGTCCTTCAGCCACTGTCAAGTGTCTTATTTATACAGTACATCTACTTTCACATTGTAGCCTTTAGCCTTCAGACAGACTCAGCGTAATACATTTGTTTGAGGGCTAGTAAAATGTACCAAGAAAGCCTTAGGTTAAAACATTGGTTAAAGATTCAAACAAATAAAAAAGATTTTACATTTGAACTTCTTAAAATATTAATGTTAATGACAAATATATATTTAAAAAGTATTCGTGTTCACCATGTCTGACCATTGTTCATTGTCTTTGTGTTTTTACAGCAGACAGAGACTCACCAATTTCTGAGTTCAAAGGATCCAATCCTGGCCCTACTTCTTATATTTCTCTATATTCCAGCATCTAAGAAGGGGGTGGATGAAGGACAAGAACAGCTTTAGAGGATCCAATTTTGAATAATTAACATCAAAACATATGAAACAAAGCAAAGGAGTGCGGTGTCCCAGCGGTTAATTCACTGTTGTACATTCCCCACATTGCAAATGCAGTTGGTAAAAAGAAAAGAGAAGGAAAACAAGACTGATGAAACCAGATTAAAGTTGTGAGGCTGGTGTGTGTGTGTGTGTGTGTGTGTGTGTGTGTGTGTGTGTGTGTGTGTGTGTGTGTGTTGTGTGTGTGTGGGTGGGTGGGTGTGGGTGGGTGTGATGCACTGTTTCCTAATGAGCTTGAGCATGAGAACTTCAGTTCCACTTGAGTGACTCCTGAGAAAAGTGCCGTCTGCCTGAGAAATGGACCATGTTCATAAAGCCTAGATTATATGGGTTTTCCCGACGTGCACTGCGCAAAATGTTGCAAAATATAGCATTTCCATCACACAACAATGCACACTTCTGCCGGCTGCTCTTTGGGGCATTAGTAAATCCAATCATACATCTGACGTTTCACATATGATGAAAGGATATAACTCACGGAGCATGAAACCAACCAGCAAATGGGATAAAGAGTATAAATGTCTCTGCATCTCGATAGATGTTTTTACACGCCAGTACGTACCCTAATCAGTTCCTCATCAAGGACTCCAGTGACAGTAAACAGATCGTGTTGATGACTTGCCCGATCTATAAACAGGACTAATCTAGCATCCAAATAATAATGGGATAAAATCCAGCATGAAAACACATCTGACTCTTTTAGAAACAACCCACCAATCGGCTTTGATGTTTTCCTCCGTCTTTCGGGCACTACTGCATTTATATGTCATCTTTTTCAAAGCAGAGAGATGGCGGCCTTTTTGTCATTTCCCTTGATATCTGCTTGAAAAGCTGGTTTGTTAAGGTTCGGAAAAGTTCTAAATGATCACAGCATTTTTTTGTTGAGATGTAAAAGATGCTTGAGCCTAAAAAATTAGACGGGACAAAATGGAAGGAAAACAAAGACAACTATGAGAACTATATTAACATAACTAAAATGGGATGTATTTACACTTAAAAGTATCTCAGCTAGTTTCTCTCCACTGAAAGCTGGTCATTGAAAGACACCAAAACAGCTAGTTATAGATAAGAGCTGAAATTGTTTAAATTAAATATAACTTTTGTTAGAAGTTGACACAGTGGCATGCCAATTCCAGATAATCAGGCTTTGTTTGGGCTCCAACTACAGGAGTATCTGTATTTAGAGCACATGTAATATATGCCTGCATAAGACCGTAGAGTCATGGGAATTGCATGCTGTTTGTCACATAAACATGTAGCAGCTTTGCTTCTCTGTTGTGCTTCTGTTGATTCCTTAAAACAATATATATCAGGATTGTGCAGCAG